ACTTTCTTAGAAAACTCTGAATTCACTAGATCAACCTCTATTTTAGTTTTATTATGAAAACATGTTAATCTAGATAATTTATCATTCGATTCTTAAAATCTGAGATACAGCCGAATCACTCAACCAATCTTTTAATGCTGAATCATACTTCTACCAGTAATAGGCCAGGCACAATAATTTTATTAACAAGTGAAGCTATACAAAACATCTTACAGTTTTTTCACAGCTTCCTTCTTCTGGAAAAGAATGAGGAAAATATTTTTACTGGATTTAATTATGTCAGAAAATTAAAATTAAATTTTGTAGATCAGTCATATCTTTTTTTTAAAAATGTAGTGCATTAAAAAGCAGTGCTTTCATTTACATTCTGTTGTTCTACTTCAAAATGTACCAAAATATTTCAGATACATAGCATAGTTTAGCTCAATCTGTTCCCTGCTTCCCATCATTTGGAAAAGTATTGTGAAAAAAATGTAATCCTTAATAAAAAATTACAAATAATAAATTTTTACACAATATGAATTTATTAAATACTTAAGTCAACCTGACGATATTCTTGAAAATAACTGCTGGTCAGCATACTATTTTGCTGAATTCAACTAGAGATATTTTAAGAGAATGCAAGATCATTTCCCTACTTACAGCTTTACAGTTTTGCAACTGAAATGTACACACTTTTAAAAGAGAAAGGAGAAGTGATATGCTTTTCCAGTCTTGACATACAGGCAAAATTTGGGCAGGAAAACATGTACTTTGAACATGTAATTTGAAACAATGTCTGTTTCAAATTCTTATTTAAAAAAATACTCCCAGCCAACCTCCCAAAAAGTTCATTAATGTTGTTTTTGCTCGAAGTAACACATATAAAATCAAGAATATAAGTATCCAATATAAAAGATTAGAATGTTGTCCAAAAAATGTATAGGGAGTGTGCAAGAGTTCCAGCTAAGACTGCAATTCTGCAAGTTCCCCTATTTTTATTTAATCCATAGCATACTTTTAGTTATGTTGCAATGAAGGAGAGATTGCCTGGTACAAAAAAAGAAAAAAAATCAGCATAAGCACTAGGTGAGCCTCCTAAAGAAAAAGTTCCATATTTGAATGTTGCTGAATTGTAACTATGCTCATTTGAAAAGCACAATCTCATCCAGAGCAAACTAAACAAAATATGTGAACAAACAACCACAACCCATGGACTTTCCGGCTTTTGGCTTTAGCCAGTCTATGGCTTTTTCCTGATACCAGTTAAATTATTCCACCACTTAGGTATTTATGATGAGAATGCTAATCTTTTGAATCTCACTTCCATTCTTCCAACGTAGTATTTACTCAGCATACATTATAGTATGCCAAGTTTCAGTTTAGCTGAAAAGAATCCTCTTCATGTTCCTAAATAATGAAACGTTTAGTTCTGAAGTACACATTTAGAAAATCCATAAGAGTGACAGTTATTTCAGGCACCTCTCTATTTTGCAAATTCCTAGGTCCTGCATTCTTTACTTATAAGTAAGCTATTATGGTGATCAAACTCACTTGAAAATTCAATCATTGCAATTCTGTTTTTTCTGTTGTTTCCATTGCAAATCGAGCATGATTTAGGAAGTAGTAATAGTAATAAAGAAATCCAGTTTGGTATAGTAAGTAAACGCACCAAGTTAGAAATTAGGAGATTGCAAGTTCTAGACCTGACAAAATAGAAAACCATCTGGGTAGCTTTGGACAAGTCACTCTCTTTCACCCCTAGAAAGAAGAAAATGGCAAGCCACTTCTGACAATTTTGCCAAGGAGACAGCACTTGTTCATATAGTTGCCAGGAGTCAAGACTGACTTGAAGAAACACATTTAATTTGAATAACTGAAGGAGAGATACATGAATAGTAAAATATTACATAATTATGTGTTGTTTTATTTATTTAGGAAATTTATTTGCCACCCATCTCATATCTAATGACCCGCACCTTCTAATGACCATATATTTTTCCATAAAAATATTACACAAAGTAACTAATTATTTCAGTAATATATTATTTTAACAGGGATTAATATTACATACAACAGGCAGGTAAAGATAACCTCAACTCCTGAAGACTCCATGACATGTATATGTTGTATTCTTGGCAACAGTGTAAAAGCAGTTTGCCCTTGCTTTCTTCTGGGATGTTTTTTCAATGTTCCAGTCCAACCTTAGTGTTAGCAAGGAAAAGCCAGTCATACATTCCCATGCAAAGCCTTGGTGTCTGGAATCTTACCTCTACTATAGCAAATGGGTTAAGTTTTGTATTTCCTTCTTGGCAATCCTCTTTAGCAATAGCAATATCACTTAGACTTATATACAGCTTCATAATTGCTTTACAGCCCTCTCTAAGCAGTTTACAGAGTCAGCATATTGCCCCCAACAATCTGGGTCCTCATTTTACTGACCTCAGAAGGATGGAAGGCTAAGTCAACCTTGAGCTGGTGAGATTTGAACTGCCAAAATGGCAGTCGGTAGTCAGCAGAATTAGCCGGAAATAGTGCATTCTAACCACTGCACCATCATGGTTCAAGTCATTATTATGAGATAAGCAGCTATATAAATCATATAAAATCTGAGAATAATAACATCTTTGTCATCATAAAGGACACAAAGAACATCCTCAAATTCTTTCTTCAATCTGATTAACGTTTCTATCATTAAGACATTTAAATATACTGGCCACATTTGTAAATTAAATCCTTTCCTCTAGCAATAACTCATATTGAAGAACCAACAGACATTCTGGATGCTGCTTAATATTTTCCTAAAAGCAATCTGGCCTTTCCAGCAGGTCTACGTTTATAATAGCCCCACTGTGTATTCTGTACAACAGAATAATCCACAGACTCACCAAAGCTTGGTAGGAAATTCAGTAAGTTATAATTTACTGCCAAATTCTCAGACATGACAAATGTTAATTCCTTCTAGAGCATACATTCCAGAAACAGTATTCAAACCATGCTTCCAAACAGAATATGCCCACATGCCATATCACAGGCTCTAGCCAATTCCAACAGACATGCATTTAATTTCAAATGCAAAGATATTCTCCAAATGAGTCCAATTGTTTACTCACATTAATTTTTGTAGGACTGGAACTTTTACCATAGGATGATCGGAAACCTGCTTAAGGGTGTTGGGAACCTAGGAAAGTCATAGGTGGAGAATCATCTTTTAAGACCTTCAGATCACTGTCATGTCAGGAAATAAGATTTAGAAATATTAAAGCACAGAATAATCTGGTACCTATGGGGAATGTCCATACTGTATAAAGTTCAGGCAACATGTACAATTAACTGTACTTCAAATGGTATAGGAAGCAGCTTCTCTGTAACTCATCACAATTTGCGGTGACTGAATAAAGAGTTAAACACCTCACAGTGACAGAGTTCACATACTGCACTTAGCTGTGCCTTACATAATAAGCCACAAATTGTTGTCTCTGAATATATTGCTATCAACCATGATTTACAAAATGGCTAGGATCATAAAATATGCTAAAAAAACTGTATTGTAGTTTAATGCAGTGTATGAACTCAAGTGATACTTGTAATTCAATTGCCAAGCACCGCTTTACAATTACAGAAGGCAAAGACAAGTTGCAATATTTTGCATTCAATCACAAAATTACGAAGTAATATATAACAAGCCTATAGTGTGAAGAACACAGATCCAGACACAGTTTAGGCAGATAGCTTAAGTTGATTTTTTTCCTCTAAAGTTTACTTGGTAAAAGTGATTTTTATTACAGCCAGGTCCCCAAGCCTCCAGATATGTACTTTTGCATTTTTAGCAATTATTAGAGTTTATGCATAAAACACAGAATAAAAGTCAAGAACCATAAAGATCCATTTTACACTTGATAAAAAGCTTTAAATAGCCAAAAAAGTCATTAGACATGAAACTGAAAACTGAGTCACTTCAAAATATGTAGAGCAATGTCCTCCTGTAAAAGTATACAGACACCTGACATGTATCAAGAGAAACTTTACCAGCTTTTTGAAATAGGCATAAGAGAAAATTATTTTGTAAAAGTAAAACGATCCTTTGGATAATGAAAAAAAAAACAAACAAACCAGAAGAACAAATACTACAAACATTCGGACCAAAACAAAACAGAGGAACACTACAAAGATTTGGAAACCTTGGCAGTAGTGCACAACTCCAGTGCAATTTTGTTTCTACATTTTTGTACATGTTAACTTCACATTTCCTATGCTTCCTTCTCTTTGTATACATTTTCATACCTTCTATTCATTTTCTCAGACATCTAAAAACAAACTGTCATCCACAAATAGAAAAAAAAAATAAACCACAAGGGTGACAATGACTGAACCTATCTTAAATCCAGACCAGATCTTCAACTGAAGGTTCAGACGATCAACTGCATACCAAAAATGGCTGTGATGTTCAATTAGAAACATACAAAAGAAGGCAGGAGCAAGCCTAAGAGGCTTCACTAATTAACAAAAGGACTCCCTCCTCATAATACACATCAGCCTCAACAACCTCCAAGGTTTCAACACTTTAACAAGCGTCTCCCCAAACCAACGTTCACAGAGATAGTCCTAGAAGGCAAAGCAAGCGCTGGCCCCCTTAACAGGAAAAGCCGAACTCAAAGCCCCTTTCCCTCAGGGGGAATCCGGAGCCCCGAAAACACCCCCGGCTTTTTCCGCCTTAAATTCCCTTCCTTCCCTTGGGGCTTTTTGGGCCCCTTTCCCCCCCCCCCCCCCAGAAGACCCCATCCCGACGCTGAGCCTAAACACGAGAACGGCCACTAACCAGCGCGACGCCCGTGAGACTTTTGGGGGCGGAGATTCTACCTATGGTCAATTGCACCGCCGGGCATTCTCAAGTCTTCGGGACACACCCCCCAGCTTCCTAAAAGGCAAACAGCTGCCTGACACGGGCTCCCGCAGCCAACCTCGGCAGCGCCACCCCGGCCACTCGCAAGAGCTCCGCAAGCCACACCCCAGGCACCTACCTGAGAAGGCTAGAGAGCGGGTGCCCCCCGCCGCCGCCGCCGCCGCCGCCGCCCCCCGAAGACGCCGAGCCGCCCCCCGAACCGAAGCCCGAGCTAAGCCGCTTGCCCGAAAGCAGCTTCTCCACGGCGGGCAGGTTCCCAGTGCGGGCGGCCTCTAGCAGCTCTTGCTCTTTCCCCATGGCCCGACGCGGGCCGGGAAACCAGCCCCCGATCCTTACTAGTAGTCCTCCTCGGCTACCGCCGCTGCCTCAACCCGGCCGGCGCGTCCTTCCGGGGCGGGGCCAGAAAAGCCACGCCTCCCGACCGAGCCTCGCCAAGCCCCGGTCCGCGGCTAATGAAGCCGAGATAGGCAGAGAGGTCGGTTTGGCGGCTGTCTCCGAACAAGCGGGGAGCGCTTGCGAAGATGTGGTAAAATATGGTAAAGGAGGACGGCCGGCGACTGCAGTTCCGTACGCATTCGCGACATTTTGGGCACTCTTAAGGGGGAGCGGGGGGAGGAAAGGATCTACTCGAATAGCACAGAAGGTGGTTCCCAACAAAAGAACAACATTTTCAAAGGAAAACAAAAAGCCAAGTCTTCGTCCTTTAAGAATAAGGAGCTGGGAAATTTCCAGTGAAGATGTTTAGTTGATGACTGTTCTCAAGTAACTGAGTTCAGCTATATGCAAAGTTTGTAGGGAAACGCGCAGCGATACAGTCGCTAGCTATTTCACTGCATCTGGATGTATTGAGAACAACCGAGCTACAGTTTTCGACTTTGCTCACCAAGGTCAGGTAAGTCACAGAGCATTTATCAACATATTTTTTACTGCAGTATGCAGTATGCCCACCGAGTCCCATTAGAAGGTAAGAGCTTTTCATGTAATCCCATGCCCAGAAATTACTGTAGTCCAGATAGTTTAGCTCATTTCTTTGAAATCCAATTTCTAGCAGCAGTTCATTATATGGAACAAAAGCAAATTGACCAAATGAACTTCAAGCTCATGAGTGTACCAGCAAATTTGGGAGATGAAAAAAGTGGTGTACAAATTGGAAAATCGATTGGATGGAGTGAAAGGCGGAACAGACTGTCAGAATGCCCATTTAAGATTAATAGTCCAGAAATGGCATGTGTTACTGAAAACTCAGATCAATATTTAAAAGCCAATCCTTTCAATATTGATTGAATATTAATATTGATTAGGACAAATTTGGATAGTTGAAATTAGCCTTGAAGATATTGTACTGAAAGTGCTGTAGTCACAAATAGATGGAAGAAAGGAGAGAGCAGGTAGATCTGTTGAAAACTTTATTCCTACCCAGCTATTTTTTACAAGTGATAGAGATTTGCCATGTATGTAATATACACTAAACCCAATCTAGTCACACTCAGTATGGTTAGTTAAAGGTTCAGTATTTTATGTGAATGCAGAATATCGGATTAATTTAATTCAGATAAATTTGGGTAAGTATGACAAACCGACATGTTCACTGGAAAGTGGGGACTCAGTAAATTATTTACAATGCTTGTATGTCATCAATACTTACTAAAAAAAAATCACACTGATTGCTGAACTGAGGAAACTACTTTAAACATAATTGCAACTTGGAAGAAGAGAACTTTGTTATTGCATTTCAGACAGTTAGCCCTCACCTCTGCAACATCTCTCAAAAAGACCTCCCACAGAGCAACAAAACTCAACATAAAATACATAATCATATTCATATCCTTAATACCAAAACAAGTCATTACTGAATAATATGGTGAGTTGATTCACATAATAAGCTAAGACATAATGGTTTTCTCACAGCAGCTTTGCAGTGCTCTCCTGCCATTTCAGAATGTGGGGCTGAATGTGCCCTTAATGTATGCCTAAGACAGAGCCATGTGCTACTGCTGTCTAGACAGTTCCATCAGTCAATACTGTAAAAGATTTCTGGTTTTTCCCTCTGAAATTACAGTCATGTCCAATGTCCCCAACCACAGGAAAAATGTATTGACGTGCATCCAGGCATTCTGCCAACAATTTTTTTTTAAAACAATTCACCACAGAATTATCAACTTTATGAATGTAATATGCCTGTCACAGTGAAAAATAATGGAAGTATGTATTAACTTTATGAAAAGTTTTCATAGGTGCTGCTATCTAATGCTCAGCCATATTACTGCATCTTGAAATCAGAATCCTAATCTGTATTTAATTTGGAAAACCTCTAAATAGCATCATTTATCAAATTATTTTTTTAGAATCATTTACTTACTAGGAGATAAATAGTCCTGTCGTAGAAATTCAAGATCAGTTTACCATGTCAATAGCAATAGACTCCCCATGAAAAGGCTGTGAGAGTGATCAGAAGAATTGATTAGAAATGCTTTGTTTACCAATGGGAATATCAAAATTGTTGACATGCAAATCTACATAATATACCTTTTTAAATGTTCAAGTTGTAGAAATATTGATCTCTCTTCTAAAAGAGATTGATTTCCTCAGTCTAAGTTTCAAGACAATACAGGTAGTCCTCAACTTACAGCAATTCATTAAGTGACCATTCAAAGTTACAACTGCACTGAAAAAGGTAACTTATGAACTGTTTTTCATACTTATGACCATTGCAGCATCCCCATAGTCACATGATTTACATCCAGATCCTTGACAACTGATTCATATTTGTGACAGTTGCAGTGTCCTGAAGTCATTTGATCCCCTTTTGCGGCCTCTGACAAGTAAAGTTAATGGGGAAAACAGATTCACTTAACTGTGTTACTAATTTAAGAAATGCAGTGATACATGTAATGTGAGAAAAGTTGTAAAGTGGAACAAACTCACTTAAGTTTCTCATTTAACAACATAAATGTTGGACTATATTGTGCTTGTGAGGACTACCTGTACACTGTGTTGTCAATAGTATACTTTATTGGCCAAGTGTGATTGGATACACAAGGAACTTGTCTTGGTGCAAACACTCTCGGTATACATAAAAGAAAAGATACAATCAAACTAAGTCCTTATGCATGTTGGAGGAGGGAGGGTGCCATGCAAATTCTGTGAACCTCTGGGGTTACTTTCCTGAATAGTGGAAATATAAAGTTACAGTACAGGATAGCTGTCTTCCCGGGGATCAGCATTGTAATATCTAAATCCTGCAAAAGAATAAGAACCAGGCTGCACAAAGATGACTGATCGTCTTGTAGCCACAGTCAATAACAATGGTGACACAGTGCCTAGCAACCAGACAGGATTGAGTGATTTCACAGCAGACCTGCCAGGTTGAAGCTGAACCTGGCCATATAAAGCTAAAGTTCCTCATCTAGGCAGTCTTTATTGTTAAGATAGGAAAGAAAATACTGTATTTTCGCACTGACTTCAGGCTGCTTCAGCAGTGGGTCAGCAATTAGATGGAGCTGACATTTTGAGGACATGTCCTCTGTAGTTAGACATCTTTGTGCCAGAGCAAGCAGGATCTGTACATTATCCCAATGTGTCATGCTTAGTTTTAGCTTAGCCATTGTGGTTTGTCAAATGGATTGATAAGGAAAAAAAAATCTCCCTAGCAATAAAGTTTTAAGCAACCTCTCCTTGCATCAATGAATATTATTTTAAAGTTTTGTATTTGGAAAGCTTGCGCTGAAAAAAGGAGAGCAATCTAGGATGGGAAGATTAAGGAGCTCCTAAGTGATATATTCAAACATGGGCCGATGCCTTTTTTTAAAGAAGTGCAGATTTTTTCATTTCAAAGTTGGAAATATGGGATTTGTAAAAAGACATTATTACAATGACTTTCTAAATTCTTACTAAGAACTTATTATTTTTAATTTCTCTCATTTGTTTTGAAGCAATGACCTGAGAGTACTTGAACAATTAATGGAGCCACAAACATAAGAAGGGTCACAGTACATAATTCTCTTTGTTCATAATTTTCTTTATAGTTCAATTTACCTTAGGGCCTTTTAAAAAGTTACATGCTTTAGTCTACCTTTTGTGCATCGCTTTTTGAAGAAATGAGAATACTTGGGTTCAGAGGAATGCTTTATTATCCGGGTTCACCCAAAACATTTACCTATTAATTACCATTTTTTAAAACGGTATAAATCACCTTTGGTGTGGTTCATATAAACGCTACCCACAAATCCCACCATGTTACTGCATCGCTGCTTAGTGGGTTGTGTGAATAGAGTACCGAGCATCGCATCGGTCTTTATTTCAACTTACATGCATAGTTTGCATTCGTAATCTTGGAATTCCTTGCCCTAGTTTATCTTTCATTCTGTTTGGTATATGTTGCTGCTGGATGCTAAAGCAACAAAAGGCGGACTCAGATTTGCATTGTTTTGTCTGTTAGACAGCTAGGACGTCGCCTGGGACCCGCGAATTCAACCTCACCCGCAAGACTTCGTTCTCCAACAGCAGCGACGAAGTCCGCATTTCTAGTTTCTCCTAGTGGGGGCGTGGTGCGTTCTTATGGAAACAAGGCGTCCAGTGCCGCCCTAATACGTCATTAAGACGCGACACGCGCCAGTCCTGATTAGTATGGCTGAAGCCGTAGAGTCTGGTAAAGAGGATGGTCTTTTGCCCGTTGTGTCTTCCCCGTCTTCCGTGGAGTCTTCCGTCGTTGCGATAGAAGTGACGGAACGCCAGGAGAAAGAACCAGCCGACATCAAAGAGGAAGTACAGATTGTAGAGGTGAGGACGGAAAAGTTCGCAACGCAATTTGCAGAAACGGGGCTTCGCTTTCGTGGCTGATGCTCCAGGGTGATTGCCGCCCTGAAGTAACGGGGGTTTTCCTCGCCTTCTATTTCTTTGGAATTCCGTATTTTACTAGAACTAGAAGCTCGTGATCCCTTTTAGAAGTTTTTCCTTAGCAGTGACGGAGCTTCTAATGTACTGCCTTCACTGGAAAGGGTATATACACTGATACACATTAACAGAAAGATCTGTCTTGAAAAGAGCCCATATTGAACTGTATAGCACAGTCAAACATCAGCACAGGAAACGTTTTAAGATGTTTATGGTCATTTTTATGTCATAAAATGTGTTATAAAATTTGCCACATTTCAATTCCACTGAGAGTTAACTAGGAGTTGAGCTTGACTCAGAAAAAGGCTTGTCTTTTTGTAAACATGAGTTATAATCAATTTTCTGTCTAGATAAAATGCAAAGAAGCATGTGAATTGATCCCTGGAGAATTAGAGGACTCTACATCACAATCTATAGCAGCCAAGAAAATAAAAATAGAGATAAAGGAGAAAAAAGATAAAAAAAATAAAGTTGATGAAGATGAGATTCAAAAAATGCAGTGAGTATTTCTCCATCTATATGCTTTTGTTAATGCTAAATGAGTAGAGAAAAGGTGTATCTTGCTGTTGCTTTCTCTTTAGGAAGGCAAACCATGTTTTTTTTGGGGGGGGGGGGGGGGAGGTCAGGGAATTCCAGAAAATAAGACTCTCATCTAATGGACACTTTATGGAAACTGTTTAGGGGAACATTCAGTGTGATATCAGGCATTTTGTCATTTTTTTCTTTTGTTCAATTTTGTGTGATTCTCAGGTATCACCTACTAGAGTCTTAGACGAAAATGAGCCATAGTGGCTCAGTAGCTTAATGAGGCTGGAGATGGTCTCTGTTCTAACAGTTTGTATGCTAGCATTCTATGTCAGAGTGAGCTCCATCCCTTGTCTCATCTTCTGTCCACTTAACAGTTCAAAAACATGCTCTATGTGAGTAGATAGATAGGTACCACTTTGGTGGGGAGATGAGTTGGTGCTCTGTGCAGGCAGGCAGATTCCTGCTGGCTCTGAATCTTCCCGGGTTGCGGGGTTTACAAGGCAACTCCAAGGAAGGGAGGGGCCTAGGAAGATGCTGCAGGAAGAGCTGCCCATCTTTCTGGTGCAAAGCCAGCTCACCTTCCTGTGGTATAGCTTGGGGAGTGTGTGAGCATATCCTACAACAAGGCTGGGAAATTGGCAGCCAGCCTACTACTCTGCAATAGTATTGTGGTCTCCTGGCTAATGTAACAATGCCACATGCTAATAACAACAACAATTTGGTTGATACCTAGGATGCTGGCAGCAACCGGTATCAACCATCCACGCCAGTCAATGATATTTGTGATACATTTTTATATGTTCAGTTGACTTTCAAGTTTAATTAATAAAAGAGATAACAACAACAAAACAACAACCTAGACAAGTCCCTGTAGTTTTCTTGCAAGGCTTTTCAGAAGTGGTGTGCATTGCCTCTTCCTACAGCTGAGAGAAAGTGACTAGCTCAAGGGTCTTCAACCTTGGCAAGTTTAAGATTTGTGGGCTTCCATTCCCAGAATTCTTGAGCTAACATGACTGGAGGAGGAATTCTGGGAGTTGAAGTCCACAAGTCTTAAAGCTGCCAAGTTTGAAGATCCCTGGACTAGCTAGACCAAGATTATTCAGCTGTCTTTGTGCCGAAAGTGGGACTGAAATTACCAATAATAGTCTGTCATTCCTAGCCTGAAACCCTAACTACTACACCAAATTGGCTCTCTCAAAAAAGGGAAATTTGCCACATTGGCTGGGAATCAAACCCAGGTGTCCCACATGGCAGGCAAGAATTCTTCCACTGACCTATCAGCACAAAGGTTTTTTTTTGTGGGTGGGGGGGGATTACTTATAATAATTATCACCTGGCATTAGGCTGTACTTTCCCCTTTGAACTGTTTTTAATAATTTGCATATGTGCATTTTCTCTTTCCAAAAAGAAAAGATTTTGCAGAGTGAATTGCTTTACAACTTCATCACTGATTTGTGGGAAACTCAAGTTCCAATTGGGGTTGTAATTCAAGAACCATCATTATTATTTATAATACATTGCAGTAATTCTATAGATGCATCATTTTTATTTTTAATATGGTAAAAATAAATACAACATGTACAAAAGAAGGCTCTTTGTGGTTGTCCATAATTTTTAAAAGTGGGAAGCATGTTTAAGAAGCACTGCAATAGGAGATATTTTGGCTTTTTTCTTTCTATTTCTCCCCGAAACCCAATGGTTTCCTGTAAATGGGACCTTCTAGACCAGGCTTGTCCAACCCGCGGCCCACGGGCCACATGCGGCCCAGGTCGCCTCGTAATGCGGCCCAACGCCCACCCCAACCTTCATGAAAGATCCAGCGAGGAGGAGGAG